AAAATGTGGTTTGTTGCCTCAGGGCAACGCTATGCTGTAGAGGGTTAACCACAGCAGCAATTCCACAACAGAATGGCTGAAAAGGGAAAATATTCAAGGTGCGATTATGACCCGGTCAGATTTCAGATCTTAACCTGAATGAAATGATGTGGCAGACCTTAAGAGAAAGCAAATGTTTGCTAACCTCAATGAACTGAAGCAATGTTGTGAAGAACAGTTTGCAAAGATGATGCAAGAAACTGATAAAGTCACACAGAAAATGACTATTTTTAAGTTGCTGCTAATAAATGCGCCTCTACAAGCTGCTGAATAATGAATGTAGTTTGTCACGTATTTCCCAAATTGGGAACTGGAAGTAAGAATTTGCAACATAAAAAAATCTATTTTGCGCTCCTTCTATTGTTTGTAAATTACTACTTTTTTTTTTTGTTTAGACAAAGCACAAAAACAGAGCTCGAGTAAGAGCTACTAGAAGATATACAACTGCTGACAGCTAGACTCGAGGTTGTTTTAAAGGGCCACAAGCCATGAAGGAATGAGTATGAGAGTGTTTTTATCACTGCAAAGATACAAAGTTGAGTCCGCAGAGCTTCCAGGAAAATCTCAGACTTCGTTCTGTTTTTTTTATGGTTGCTCTTAAAGCTTGCATGATCATTAATTGCATGATTAATTGCACAATATAGCATACAGGAAAAACATCCTGTATGCTCTGCAAATATTTCCCCATGAAAAAATTTGAAAAGGTGAAATGCGTGTGCCGTGTTTGCACAACTGCAATCTAATCTATGACATATCACTAATAGCTGTTATTTCTAGCAGCACCGGAGCCGAAGCGATGCAGATCACAGGAGTGTTGGTTTGAAGGAAAATCCTGATGGTATGCGGGGTTGCACCGCAGATGGAGCAGAACTCACCGAGCTGTCAAGTACGTCACATGAAGGGTGTTCCCTGCGGGAGCAGGGCAGGACATCCATAATCAATGACCAAACACAGCAGCCAATCACAGGGCTCATGCTAATGAGGAGCCTTTAAACCCTCTGGACCTTTGCAGACTGACCGGATTTCAGCAGCACGCACAGAGAAAGGAGGAAACTGCAGCTCCCACTGAAACCTCCACATCTGAGAAGAAACTTTTTTCCCCCCCTCTTTCTTTCTTCCTCTCCGGTCTTTTGCTTCCAGTAATAATATCCGGATCTGCTCACACAGGAATTATCGCACTTTGAAGACACCGAGCTGAGCTGGGAGGAAGCGCTGATTCACACTCTGCTGATTTCTTTCTCGGGGTGGGGGGACTTAAAAGTTCACAACGCCATGTCTGGTGAGTCGGATCACAGTCGGCGGTTCTGCGTGCTGTCTTGGGATCAGGTGCAGCGCTTGGACTCGATCCTGGGCGAGGCTATCCCCATCCACGGCCGAGGAAACTTCCCCACGCTCTCCGTACAGCCCCGCCAGATTGTCCAGGTACCAAGAGAGAATTAAGAAAAAAATAAATAAAAAATAAATAAAATGTTTCACTTTTAGATTGACAGTTCAATTTGAGCCAAATTCATGATATTTAAATTATTAATATCAATCAGGACCTCTCCGTCAAGCAACGTCTTTTTTTTAATAAAATTAAAAAAAAAATCGTATTTTCTTCTTTCTAGTTTCATGTGAAATACTAATGGCACAATAAACTACCACAAAACAAACAGTGCTGTACTCTGTTGAACACTGGAAACCCCTCACCGTCCTCTGGTGGCCTACTGATCCATTCAGGATGTAACCCTCTCGGTTCCTTGGCTCCCTCCTTGCTTGATTGTATTTCCATAACATAGTTTTGTTTGCTTTGTTTCCTCATTCTGGGGCTAACTTTGCGTTCCCATTTGGAGCAGTGCTGTTTATTCCTTAGCAGATTACTGTGTCAAACGTTTTAAAAGTTTCCTGCATGTCTGCTTACTTCATCCTTTTGATTTGTAGCATTTAATGTTGATTTACTGGCACATAAAAAGTCAAAATGCAGCGTTGGTTTCCGTCATATTCAAACAGCAGACAGAGGGAAACCTGTTATATGCTGGCTTTAGCACGGCCCTGAACGGCTTCCACATTTCCAGCCTCTTATGCATTGTGGCTGGATCACATTTCACTTCCCCTGTGGTGTCTCTGAGTTTGTTGGCAATGCATTAAAGTGCTGAGAAAATCCCATGCTAGAGTTTCAAAATGTACATACAGCTGTTAAAGAATCCCCCCTCCCCCCTTCTGTAATTTACTCACTGACATATTCAAGATGAGCTCAGCAAACATGCGAGCCCAGGAGCTTGATGCTTGTGGTTGTGGAAAAGATGAATGCTCCATTTAACATGCAGAAAGGCCTAAATGCAGGTTTGAGACCCAGATGAGGGGACTCTCAGGCTTGCTCTGCACTCATGGAAACCCCGTAGAATGCATCTATGATTCATGTAGGGAAAGCTAATGAACCTCCTGGCAAGATGTATAGAGTAAGGCTATTTATCCTTGATGTCTTTTAACTTGATCTAGGTGAGTGCCTTTTATGCTATGCATCACACAAGGCATGAGTGAGTGTGGGGCTTTGTCTAGCTGCGGGGTTGGAGGTATAAACATGCTGTGTCCGATACAGCATCAGTACATCAATACAGCCCTGCAGGAGTAAGAGTCCTGCATCAATTAGGATAACAGCATATGCTCTGCTCAGGGTTTATGAATGAACAATACACATTTTCACATGCCCTTCATTATTATTTAAAGAAGAGAGACCAACTAGTTCAGATGGAGCTGGAGTCTTCTTTCTGGAAGGATTTGATCCTAAGCCAGCAGAATAATACCTGGGCTTCCAGGGGAAGTGAGGGGATCTTAACTACTCACCTGCATCCAAGCATGTAGGAGCAGAGGAAGGAGTTCAGTGTGGGGCTGAGTGGATTTTACTCTGTGTGATCTGGCAGACCAGGTTGGTCACAGAAGAAACTAGAAACATTATCATTGCTTCTAATTGGACTTTGAACCCAATTGGAGCTTCTTTATGGCCAAACGACTGCAACGCTTCTAGGTTTCAGTTATAATTTTGTTCCTCCGCCGTGTGATGGGATGACTTGTCTTCAAGTGTTTGTCAGTCTGTAGCCTGACCCAGTATGTATAAATAGCACTATCATGTTATCTGATCACCATGGGAGGGATTGTCAACAGACACTAATCTGACAGGTTAGTGCCGGTAGGAAGATTTAGGATTGCATGTGAGGCGTAACAACTAATTTGTGTAGCAGGTTTGGCCGTTTCAGTTCCCAAAATGCCGTGACGTCAAAGTGCAGCTAACACATTTAGTCAGATAGGCACATATTTACACTCTCTTATCCTAATCATCTCTAGCGTCTGCTGTGCATATGCCTAATTAAAGTGACAAACTTCCCAAGTAGACTGACGGATAGAACAAGGAAGCTGCAGCTCTTACGACTCGACTCTTTAAATATTTCCAAATGTTTGAGAACAGAATGTTTTATGGCGCATGTGGGGTATCATTTCCCTTTGGGCATGTAAGCTGAATCAATCTTTGATGACTTATTTGAGGACTCCGACCCTTCCCTTCGCACCTAATAGTGATGATCCTTTTCAGATGTGGCTACACAAAGAGAAGACGCCTGTGTTTAAATATCGTGCTGATCACTGGAGCAAAGGAAAGGCTATTGACCCTTAATGCCAGCTATTGATTTGACTTGAGTCTTTTTAAATGCCATTTTTGATCCTATGAAGCAATTACTTTCGCCTCCTGTTAAAGGAACCTGTATGTTATTAATAAGATTGTATTTGTCTCGTCCCTGTCCAGGTTGTGCGAGCGAGGCTTGAGGAAAGAGGTGTGCATGTTAAGGATGTGAGGTTGAACGGCTCGGCTGCCAGCCACGTGCTCCATCAGGACACGGGACTGGGCTACAAGGACCTCGACCTGATCTTTGGTGTGTCGCTGAAAGATGACCAGGCCTTCCGTCTGGTGAAGGACGTCGTGCTGGACTGCCTGTTGGACTTCTTGCCAGCCGGGGTCTCTAAGGAGCGCATCACAGCACTGACCCTTAAAGAGGCCTACGTGCAGAAACTTGTGAAAGTCTGCAATGACACGGACCGCTGGAGCCTCATCTCGCTGTCCAACAACACAGGCAAGAACGTGGAGCTTAAGTTTGTGGACTCTTTACGGCGGCAGTTTGAATTCAGTGTAGACTCCTTCCAGATTTGCCTCGATTCTCTGCTCTTGTTCGACCGCTGCTCTGAGACGCCCATGTCTGAGAGCTTTCACCCCACCGTAATTGGCGAAAGCGTGTACGGGGACTTCAAAGAAGCTATGGAACATCTGTGTCAGAGGACCATAGCTACTCGCACCCCTGAAGAAATCAGAGGGGGCGGCTTGTTGAAGTACTGCCACTTGCTCGTGCGAGGCTTCAGACCCTCGTCAGAGGCGGACATGAAACAGATGCAGCGCTACATGTGCTCGCGCTTCTTCATCGACTTCCCCGACATAGGTGAGCAGCAGAGAAAGCTCGAGGCTTACCTGCAGAACCACTTCGCCGGCATGGAGCACAAGCGGTACGAGTGCCTCACGACTCTGCACGAAGTAGTGAACGAGAGCACAGTGTGTCTGATGGGCCACGAGCGGCGCCAGACGCTCAGCCTCATCTCCATGCTGGCGCTGAAGGTGCTGGCTGAGCAGAATGCTATCCCCACGGTAACCAATGTGACCTGTTACTACCAGCCAGCGCCGTATGTGCAGGACATAAACTTCAGCAACTATTATATTGCACACGTGCAGCCGCCACAGGTCGCTGCGTGCAGCGCTTCATATCAGACGTGGCTGCCCTGCAGTTGAGCTGGTGTCAGGGCGCGGAGGTCACCGTGTCTCCACTGCATCGCTCTGTCCAGGATGTGGACTGAAAACAATCAATAAAGAAACCCATTTGCCAAATGTGACTTTATAAAAACAACCCTGTACTGCTGTACATCTGATTGAGCCGACAAGTTTTTTTTTTTTCCTCTTGTTTTCTCTTGCAAGAGAAAAGAGTCTGTAAGATTGCTGGTCATTTCTGAGATGTAGCGATAATATCTTTAAGTATTAAAAAAAATCTACTTTGTCAGGTGTGCATTTTTGAGGAAGCAGACAATGAAGCTGGTGGTGTTTTCATACCCTGGCTTTTATTTTGTTTTATTTTTTTTAAATTGCATACGGACCAAAGATATGTGGTTTTTCTTTTTTTTGTTCTTTGTTCTGAAAGGGAATGTAATCACACTTCCAAGTGCCTTAAAAAAAAACAACCAAAAAAACCCCACAATGTTCTGAAAACATCTGTAAAGTGAGAATTGTGCATCCAGTGTTTTCTAGATTACTGTTTCTCTTTTCAAGAACAGAAGCATTCGTTTTTGAGGTTTCCCCCCCCCCCTCCTTTTGTATTGTGGTTATTTTCTGCTGGCCTGTAATGATTGTTGATATTTTAATCTTTGGTTTTTAGGACTGCAGTTGGTTCCAACTGGTCATTGTCTGAGCTGCTTCAAAATTCACACAGTTGAGTTTTTATATTGTTACGTGTCCACAATAAACAATGTGCTTTGGCCAAGACGTGACACACACAGTGACTCCAAAGTCTGTCCTCTTTTCCTCTCGGTGTTTGGTCCCACGCTTAATAAACTGATGAGTTGGTTCGTTTGCAGTAACCAGGACCATTGAAATGCATACACTGTTGGCCGGAGTCACTTACATTTGTTAAACTGGGGCTGAGGATCCATTACAATCTGAGGACATGAACCATAAGGAGGCTTTTCTAAAGCACAATGGCTGCTCTCTGTGATACTAAAGCTTTATAACAAAGGCTGGCTTGTTCTCCCAACCCATGTTACTGCTGGAAACGCAGCCCAGTTTGCTTGACTGATACTATATCCATGTCATTTTGTCTGAGTCAAAATCAAAAATCCTTAAACACATAGGTCTTTCTTTTTTTTAAACACTGAGTGACTGAGCCCGTATGGATTCATAGCAGACCACAGATCTTCTTATTTGGGCCAATAATTACATCTGCTCAGAAAACTGAGAACAAAAAACATCATTTTTGCCATATGTGACTCTCTCACACATGTTCTTGTTTTTTAAACAGAACTACTCACGCTGATGCTGAAAGGCAGAATTAGACATGTGGTATTATTAAAGCGATGCACAGCCCTGTCTTTGCATAAATCTGTTAAATGCAGGGTATTGGTCTTGGTCACAGAGTCAGGTCGCTGTGGAGTAACAGTGCTGGAGCCAAGATAAAGTACAGTTAGCCTGATCATTTTTGCAATATGAAATTATTTTACTTATCCTCTTTCACACATGGCCAGAATAGCCTGTTTAGAGACTGTGGACTCCCAGTGCCTTCAAATCCTTAGAAAGGCTTGCAGTTCTTTTCCACTCTGCATTTAATCATTAGTTATTTATCTCTAAATCTTTTTTTTTTTGGTACCGTCTTCCTTCCATCATCCCAAACTGGTTGCGGTAGAGGTTATCACCCACTGGTTTGTGGTCTCGCAACTATGGTGGTCCTGAGAGGTCAAACACTCCATCTTAATAAAAAACTGACCAATAGAAAAATGGAACAGAAGTGTTTCTGGGGGCACAATAAGGTGATGGAGCAGCTGCAGAGGTAGAAACCAAAACATGCAAAAGATAACACTGAAAAAGAAGTGTAAGATTCATCACTTTTGTGACCGAGAAAAAGACACAGGTAGTGTGTGTTTTAATCACATGATTCATTTAATCGTCTACATACATCTTTGCTTTTAGCCACTTACTGTTGGCTCTTCCACCTCCAACATCCTTTTTTTGGGTCTATTTTTGTTTCGTTTTGTTTTCTTTTGAGCTCTCAGGGCCACCATACCCATCTCTCTTTCTTAAACGCAAGAAATGACAAATGAGAAGTTAGAAACCGACTCTCGGTCACAATGCAGAAAAATCAGTTTAATGGTACATTTGACTCTAAAATATCATTTTCCACAATATATATATATTTTTTAGCTCCGAGTGACTTGAGCGTAAAATCACTTACAAAATATTTCCTGGTGTAATAAAGTTTGACATTTAGGGGTTAAAAAAGTCTCCTTATTTAAAATGATGATGCTACTTAAAGGACAAAATATAACATTAAAGTTTCTCACAGATCTGATCTGTGTATAGTTAAACACCACCAACCAGATTTCTTCCTGTTAAACGGGAGTTTTTCCTTTTCACTGTTGACAAGTGCTCGCTCAGAGGTGGTCGTCTGATTGTTGGGGTTTCTCTCTATTATTGTAAGGTCTTTACCTTACAATGTCACGCACCTTGACTGTTGTTGTGACTATATAAATAAAAGGGAATTTAATTGAATTCAGTCATTTTACAATAAGGGCAGGGGTAATACAGTCACGTTTCCTTGATTTTCATTGGTAGACGAAGCATTTAAGAGTTGAGTAAGAGATGAAGGTTACAGGGGAAACATGATGTTATGGTTCGCACTATGCCTCAATGCAAAAAGACCCTGGGTTTGAATGCACCAGTCTGCTGAAAGCTTTGTGTGTGGAATTTGCATATAGGTAGTCCAGACATGGACTACCTATATGCACACACTGAAGACATGCATGTCAGGTTGCCTGTGGTCCTTGTTAGCCCTGCAACAGACTGACTCCAGTGCAGCCGCCACCCTGAATAGAATAAGTGTTTACCATCGCAGGTTGCGAGAGGGTTGCGTCCTCTTAAAGGTGCACATAAAAACCTACACTCTTCATTCATTGTCTTTTCTGCATTCAACCCTGAACATGATCATCTTTTCTTACGCTCTATAAAATGAGAGCTTCAGGAAAATTGAAATTTAAGAGCCACAGAGTTACATTGGGTGTAAATAGCAACAAGCTTACTGGAAATGATTTCTTGCTGGTTTGAACCCCTCTCCAATGACAATCCCCATTAATCTGTCATGATCACTGGCCCTGCTTGCTCTGGAACACTGTGTGCTCTCTTTTCTTTTTTTTTCTTTTTTTTTACCCGCGAGTGATTCACCACACGTCCCAAAGTGTGCGTTCATTTCCCATTCCTATAATGTTTGCACACTAGTCAAGCGGCAACACAATCGTTTCAGTGGTTCTAAGGTCAACATTAATCCTTGTGTGAAGATATTGTCAATGGCTTCTAGCTAAAATTCTGACCTGTTATGGTATTATCATATGAAACATTAGGATTCAAAGAAAGGAAAAGTGAGCTACGTTGCTGATAGACTTATAATAATAGTGGCAGTAGTTGAAATGAAACATTTTATCATAGAGATAACAAAGCAATTTCTGTGAGAGATTTAATTCAGGCTTTAATTAGGAGTTTGTGTGCGGGCTGAGGTTCTGCGCACGCCTGTGCGAAACCAGGGTGAGGACAGGACAGAGACGCAGTAATGACAGAGATTTCGCAAATTTCTTGCCACAACACAAATCAAACTCACCCTGTCCTGGTATGTGTGCTATTATCTCGCCCAAGAAAGGGTTTATTCGCCCAAGGGAGCGATTATGAAGTCCCACTAACCCATTATCCGCAGGAAGTTTCTCACTCTGTACCTCTTTCTGTTGTTGTTGTGTACTTTTCCCTTCATGTTAGCTCTCTGATGCAAAACAAAAATTTAAGAGCGGATCACACTGACCTGACTCAGGGATGTGGATATGTTTTAAATTAGGCTGTACTTGGGGAGCACATGACTCTGTGGATGTGACATCATCCTCAGGGTGCAAAAGGGAAACACATGTCTCGGTTGAACTGGATGATTGGAGCACACTGACAGTGCAGCTTCAGCTGGTGGAGATATGTGTTGCGGTCTGTGTGTTGCTGGTTGCTGGGGTACAGTGCTGAGAAATCCATGAGCTCAACAAAAGTTCTGCACGAGGCGAATTTGTCCGAGCGGCTCTGATCTCTGCATCCCGTTTAATGCACTTTAAAGTGTCACCCGGTTAGGACTTTAAGCATGTTGCTACCAAAATGACAAGTTTCAGAGGGGTGGTTTACTCTCTGCTTAGAAAGTGTTTTATGAGCATATTTCAGAAAAGTCGGGATGCTGTGTAAAGTGTAAATAAAAACAGAATGTACTTTCAAATCTCATAAAGACCCCGTATTATATTCACAGCAGAACATAGAAGGCACATCAAATGTTTGAGCTGAGAAAATGTATCACATTAAGAAAAATACTAGCCCATTTTCTATTTGATGGCAGCCACATGTAACAAAAAGTTAGGACATTATCATGGTACATCTGTGTCAGTAAACATCTGGGAACTGAGGAGAACAGCTGGTGGACGTCTGGAGAGAAATGCCGCTCCATTCTGGTCCTATAAAAGATTCTTAGCTGCTCAACAGTGCTGGGTCTGCTTTCTCACGTTTTTCATCTCCATTGTTTTTTATTGGGTAAAAGTTGTCAACTGCAGGCCATTTCAGCACCCTGACTCCTCTAACATGAAGCCATGCTGTTGCAATAAATGCAATACGTGACTAAGCATTATCTTGCTAAAATATGCAAGGCCATACCTGAAAAAGACACAGCCTGGATAAGAAACCTGTATGTGCCTTTCAGCATTGATGGTGCCTCTTCAGATGTGCAAGCTGTCAGCTCCATCGGCACTGACGCACCCCAATACCTTCAGAGATTGAGTCGTTTAAAGTGAGCGCTGATAAAAAGCTGGTTGGTCCTTCTGCTCTGTAGTCCAGATGACACGGCATCTGTGCTTTCCAAAAATAACGACAGATTTTGATTCATCCGACCACAAAACAGTTTCCTGCTTTGCCTCAGTCCATTTTAAAGCTAATGAGCTAATGAGCTACGTAGCAGAAACGCCAGCATTTCTGGATCATGTTCACATGCAGCTTCTTTGCAATGGCAGAGCTTTAATCTGCATTTGTGGATGGCACGGTGTTCACAGGAAGTTATCTTCCATGCAGTGATTTACATCACAGAATCACTGCTGTTTATAACGCGGTGCTGCCAGGCGGCCCCAAGGCTGATGTTTGACATTATCCCTACGGCGCAGCGATTTCTCCAGATTCTCTGAGTCTTTTGATGATATTTGAATGCAGATGATTATATATTCATTCTTGACAATCTTTTGTTGTTGAACGTTATTTTGAAATTGTTCCACATTTTAAAGATGTAACCTTTTTTTTTTTTTTTTTTTTACAGATCTGCCCATCTTTACTTCTGAGAAACTCTCTCTAAGAGTAACCTAATCAGCTGCATAATGTTCCTCCAGCTGTTTCTTTTATTTGTTGCCCTCATCCTTTGGGGGTTTTTTTTTGACATGTTGCTGGCATCAAAATCAAAATGAGCTAATATTTTTCATGAAATAGTTTAAACATTTCAAATGTTTTATGGTCTAATGTGAATGAAATATGGGGTCATTAGCAAATCTCTTCTTTTTATTTTCATTTTACACAGCGTTCCAACTTTTTTGTGTGTGGATTTAGTTTCTTTTTTAGATTTTATGCCAGAATGAATGAATAAATAAATAAATTAATAAATAGCAAGCTTGCAATTATTAAGTTACCAGATCTGGAAAACACAAGGTTTTCACAATAAGAAGATGAAGAAATGACAGTCTGCCCT